AGGAGAGGGAGGGAGGGAGGAGAGGGAGGGAGGAGAGGGAGGGAGGGAGGAGAGGGAGGGAGGGAGGGAGGGAGGGAGGAAAGGAAGGAGGGAGGGAGGGAGGGAAGGAGGGATTCATAGCTGTCGTTAACCTCTGCTCTTTGTTGATGTGAGCTCTGTTCTTGATCCTCTTGGCGCTCTTGCCGAACCTCATGGTGGATATTGTCTGCAGGAAAGTGAGAGGAGAGGCAGAGAAGGCGAGGGTGGGGGGGGGAGGGGGCAGGCGGTGGCGGTGGAGGGCCGCAGAGGAGAAATACTTCAGACTCGTTGATCTTGGCAGGAGAGCAGTTGATGATGAGGGCGGTACGGCAGTTCCCTCCCAACGCCTCCTGCTCATCGTGTTACTTTCTTGCTCGAGGTTGTAAGAAGGAGCAGAGAGAGCGCAAGACAAGGAGAACAGGAGAAGGTCAGGAGGAAGAAGAGAAGGAGGTATGAGGGTGAGGGAGCAGGGCAGGGACTAAGACGAGTCGCTAACTTGAAGCAGACGGGTGAGCTTCGAGTCTCGATATGGGATGTGAGTAGCCTGTCACTGTTTTCAGTTGCAATCTCCCTCCCCTTTCCCTTCCCCTTCCCCTCCCTCCCTCCCTCCTCTTCTCCTCTGTTTCTGTTCCTTGTCTCTTTCTCCGGGACGCACTCCTGCTTCTCTCCTCCTCCTCCTCCTCCTCCCCCTGCTCCTGCTCCTGCTCCTGCTCCTGCTCCTCCTCCCCCTGCTCCTTAGCTCACCTTCCCCTCTGAGAGAGCGAAGATCACGTTGCTGAGAGCTGACAGCGACTTGTTGATATGCTGCAGGCATGCTTCACTGCCTCCTCCGCCCTCTCCATCTCCCCCCCCCCCCCATCTCCTCTCTCCTCCTCGTGGTCGCTACCTGAGCCTCCTTGAGAGTTGCTCCCTCTGCTCCCGTCTTCTTCACTGTCTCGGAGCCCGCAAGATCGACCTATCAAGAAGAATGAGGGAGAGGAGGGAAGAAAGAAGGATGTGATGTGATGTGATATGATGTGATGTGATGTGATGTGATGTGATGTGATGTGAGGAGACAAGAGAGACAAGAGAGACAAGAGAGGAAAGAGAGACAAGAGAGGAAAGAGAGGAAAAGAGAGACAAGAGAGGGGTCGGAGAGGAACAAGAGCGATGAAGAGTGAAGACAACCATGAACAGCTTGGACTTCTTGCGAGAGCCTAGAAAAGAGATCAGAGGCGAGCAGATGTGAAACAGAAAAGAATGCCAAGAACATCGGCGGGAAGAAAAGAAAATGGCAGGAAGAGGAGGATGAGGAGTAGGAGGACGAGAGGGGAGGAGGAGGACGACGACGACGAAGACGACGAGTGAGGAGGAGGAGTGAGGAGGAGGAGGAGGAGGAGGAGGAGGAGGACGAGTGAGGAGGAGGATACCATCGAGAGTGTTGGTCTGCTCGAGAGTAACAATGAAAATCGAATGAGAACGCGATGAAGCCTGCAGATTCTCGTGAGCTGCTGCTTCCCCGCCTCCTCCTGCTTCTCTCTCCTCTCCGCAACTTGGTTCTTCCGACCCT